TTGTAAGCTCCTCTCTGGGTGGTGTAAACAAAGTCCAGTGTGTTATTTCCCCTTGTTGGAAAGTCTATGTGTTGTTGTATTTTTGGAAAAACGCACTTTAAGTCTGCATGATTGAAATCCCCAGCCAGGATGAGAAAAGCATCAGGATGGGCTGTCTGCTGCTCACTGACAACTCACAACTGAGTTATTTTTACACATCTGCCAGCATCTGGCCAATCCACCACCTTTCATTGTTTATACCGTTACAAAAAAATAAAAGATAAAAAATAAAAATCATCGGGCATACCGAGCAAATGCCTGGTGGTAGCTCTGTTTTGGAAGTTCAAAGCTAGAAATGTGTTTTGGAATTTGTACGTGCTTTGTCTCTAGGGGCCACCGCATATATTTATATATAAACATATATAAATAAAACCACTTTTTTTTACATCAGTAATTCCTTTTGTGCATAATTTATTATTGTTAATAATAAATTAATTAAAGCAACAAAACAACCTGAAGAGCCGGTTCGGAGCTGAAAGAGATGGCTCTTTTTAGTGAGCCGAGCCTAAAGAGCCTAAAAAGAGCCGGAAATCTCATCACTAGAATAAAACAAACAATGTGGGCTTCATAGATAATTGGCAAACCTTCTGGAGGAAACCTGGTCTTGTTAGGAGAGACGGCATCCATCCCAATTTGGATGGAGCAGCTCTCATTTCTAGGAATTGCTGTCAGTCATTTCCAGTCACGGTCATGGCTCCTGGTGTCTGTGCTGTTTACGGAGTCATAATTCCATCACTGATCTCTCTGCGCGCTGTCAGTTTTAGCTGGGCATGCTCTCTTCATCCCTCAGTTTTCGTTTCAATGCAGCTGTAGGTTTAAAGGGCAGAGCATGTTGTACACCCCTGCAGTCTTCCTCAACGTCACCGTAGGGTCACTTTCCACCTTTTTGGATTTCACTGTTGTTCAAACTCTCCTCATGACGATTTCTAGGAAGCCAAGTTTTACAACCATCTGCTTTAACTCCTCTCAGGGTTGTCAGCTGTGCTGGAAATGGTCCCTGCTTCTCGCTGGTCCTCTTGAAGCCCTCTCTCCCACTCTCAGTCTGCATCTTATGCATGATCTCCTTCCGCCACACTCCACCTGTAATTTAAAAAATGAAAGCTCCCCCGGAAAACCGTTTTTTTGCCGCATGGTCCTTGCCATGTGTCAACTCAGAGAAGCACAAGAAAAATGTACATTGTCTCTTAACAAAATTCCAGGGCTTCTCCCCTGGAGTAGCTCCACTCCAGGCCTGTAACCGTGTGTAAAGGGGGGGAAAAAACACAAGCCAGTGGTGTGTTCTGCTGTAAACGATTAAATCACATGATTGACTCTCTGCTGCGGAAATAGTGATGTAGATGTTAGCACAGTGCATTTGTATGCATACTTTCTCACAGCGACCTTTGCATTGTAAGCAATACAAGGTCATGAATAACACACCGCTGGTAAATTCACACAGACACAGAAAGTGTCAATTAAAAGGTGAAGTTGGCATGGCCCAAAAGCTCTTGCAAACCTAGGATTTTGCTGTCACCTTTCTGCTCCTGCAAAAAAAGCATACATACATACATCCACCCTTTTGTCACGTCTGGGTGGAGGTAGGTGCAATCTTGCGTATTGGTATCAAGTCAGTCAAGCCAGTCAAGCTTTTGTCAGTTCCCCATTTTTTTTATTGCTGATAGTGGAATCTCTCCTGTCGCATTGAGTTTCTACTGCCAGCAATTTGACGTAATTTCAAAACAGAAAAAGAAGAATTTAGACTGGATTACTTTGCTGAATCCTTTAAAACACTCACTATCTGATTACGTTCCAAATAAGTGGCTTTCTCCAGAGCCCACTGTACTGTGGAGAAGTTTAGTTTACGATCGTTCCCGACAAAATGTTTTGTAGCGCTTTCAGTTCCAATCGTGGAGGCCTGCTCAGAGAAGAGAGATTACCAAACAAGACTCTCAGTGCACTGTGAAAGTGAAAAATAAAAAGGTCGAGGGAAGTCATGAAGCGTGCTCTTCATCTTAGGTGGGTAAATCAAAACTAATTGTTAGGTTCACCTTGGTATCAGGAGAAAATGCATCAGCCAGATTAATCTCAAAAACATTAATCCGTCAGCCACACACACACCACACAAGCCTAATGTCCTATTAGATATTGAGTTTCTTCCCATGTAACCAGGTGCTAATCCACTAGTTTACATATCACTTCTCATTCCACTAAGTGAACTGGACAAGATAGTAAAACAGAATCACATGCTTAAGATGCTGTCTGGTCTTCATGAGCTTTATTGCGTGTGCGCGTGTGTGTGTGTCTGCTAGTAGGATTAATGCATTTTCTTGTTTGTGTGTGTGATTTTGTGTACCTGTCCTATTTTGTGGTGTTCCACTTAAACAATCAGTTTTCCTCCCCAGGTTCCTTATCCCATTTTGATTTCCCACACTAAACAACAGCGTCCCTGCTTGTGTCGCCCTCCTCCTTTCCCTGTGGTCTCCTCTCCCCTTTGCAGCAGTTAGTTGCAGTAAGTTCTCTTCAGCTTTGTGTTGTGTATTACCACTGTCTCTTCCCATTGCCATTTCACCCCAAACGTGGCAAATGTCAAACTCAGACAGTCTTCTCAAAGGTCCGGTCACATTCAGTGAAGTTGCAGCTTGTTGGAAATGCATCTCCATCAATCCAGCCATGATGATGGTGTTTTCTCCTTGCTGATGCCGTTTGCACATGCTGCTGCTGGACCTATCACTGCTCAGGACACTGCTGTTGTCTCTTGACCTGGCATGTTGTTGCTTTTGGAACTGTGTTTCTTGTCTTCAGGGAGAGGTTAACGTCCTTGGAGCTTGCTTTTCAGGATGAGGAACACATGGAAGTGAAGCTGCAAGACAATTCAGCCAAAACTCGGCCTGGGTGTTTCTAATAATGTTAACCTATAATTTTCTTCTGAGTGCTGCCAGTGGAGATTGATCCAGGTCTGTTTCCCCACCTGCAACTGACAGACTGAGACATTTTGATCATTCTCATCGTTGCTTAAACAACACATCATCCCTCTCTGGTTTTGAATTATCCTTTCTTAAAAACCCAGAAAGTGAGATTGTAGTTGTTCTAGGCTGAGAAACACAAAAACCTCTTACTATTACTATTATATTTTCATCAACAACACTCCTATTCTCTTTTAACCTGCAATACCACCTTCTCCCACTAGTTGGAGACAATTCTTGTCACGCACATTTCTACGCTCCACTCTTTCTTTCTTTTCTTTTTTCTTTTGTTTTTGTTCCCCCCCCCCCCCCCCCCCCCCATTGTTTTTACAGTTTAACACCCACAAACTAACCTAGTAACTCACTTGTTCAACATTTCTGTTCATTTCCCTCCAGCTGCTCTTCTAACTTTCAACTGGCTCATGCTGAGTGAACTCTTTGTCACACAGCCATTCTACCTTCTCTGCCATCTCGCACTACCCATCTCACTTTTACCCATAGTTCTTACCATACAGTCACATATTGAGTTCTGTCCCTGGCCGCCCGATGGCTTTACTGGATCCAGCTTCCCTTTACATTCAGAGCGTCCTCTGCAATGGCCTTCTTCCCTTCTTGGCAGAAAAGTGCTAAAACACCGTCAATCTGGTATTTATTATTTATTTATGGTGCTTTACGCTGCACCATAAATAAATAAGCATACGAATTGCAACCCTGTCTGTGTTGATCCTTGGGTCCTGTGCTACATCTGCGCTATCTACTCCATGTCATGTCACAGTTATCCCCTTGAACCTTCCCACATTTTGTCACATTACAGCCACAAACATGAATCAATTTTATTGGAATTCCACGTGAAAGACCAACACAAAGTGGTGTACACGTGATACATGATTCCACACATTTTTTTACAAATAAATAACTGCAAAGTGGGGATATTTGCAGTTCTGAACCGTAGTAAAGGGACCTCTGGCTAATACGTCGGGTTCCGTGTCGGGCTCGTAGTCGAAAACTAGCATTACTTTGTTGTCTGGGTCAACTTTGCTAGGGAGAGACAGAGAGAGGCGTTGAAAGGCTGCTCCAATGAAATCATTGTTTTGGAGAAAAACCTTTTCACTCTAACATATGAAACAGGAAAAGACTGTCGTGTAATCCCTTTATTTCAACAAAGTAACTGTATTCTGAACACCACCTTTTTAAACGGTAACTGTAACGGAATACAGTTACTCATATTTTGTATCTTAAATACGTAACGGCGGTACATGTATTCCGTTACTCCCCAACACTGTCCATAATTAACCTAATTAACCTGACTGAAACTGCTTCAGGTAATATTTAAGTTATGACATGATCAGATGAGTGTGAAACACAGAGAGACAACACAAAAGATAGGTGAACTGTACATAAATGACTGAGCGAACAGGGCACACAAACATGAGGACGAGATGATGATGTGACCAGAAGCAGAAACAAACTGAGGGCTTAAATAGACAGGATAATGGAAGAAAAGGAAACAAACCTAACTAATGAAGCAGAGGAAGTAAAACTGAACATAATGCACACAGGACAAAAAAGACTATCACAATAAAACAGGAAAAGACACAGAAAAACAAAACAATGACAAAAAGTCTAAAGTCAGAACACTGGGTCAACAATCCAGGTACCATGACAAATTGATTCAACAGTCATTAAAGTTCTTGTACTTAATGACACTTGTCATCTTGGCTAATACTGAAAACACATAAGGGGTGTTACCATGCAAAATGTTTTTTTTTAGAAAAGTGCAAAGTAATTTGTTTGGAAAATGCAAATATCCACTTGGATGTCTTGTCATTTATGCAAACCCTCACTAGTGCTGCGGGAATGTTCAGACTAAACGAACTAGTACAGTGTGATATTAGAAGTACTCTGAAGAAACTACAGAGGAAGTAAGCCGATCGACAAGTCAGCAGGGATATACCAGTAACTAGCGTAATTTCTTTAATGTGGTAATGATGTGAGAATTTTTTACTAGACAATAGTGGAATGGATTATATTTGGATCTTCACTGGTAAGCCAAATTGTCTTCAACTAAATGTATTACTTATAAATAATCAGTTCCAGATATTTTGTACTTTTTCATCTTTAAAACAAAACCCAGACCAAATACCAAAGCTATGTTGTGAAAACACACAATTAACAGACTTCCTCCTCCTTTAATCATATCCTGGCTTACACAGAGAAAATGAGGAAACACACATTGGACCTTGTATTAAATGTATTAGAAGCAGTGATGGGGAAGAGCTGACTCATGCTCATGCAGATCAGTCAGTCAACAAAAATAACAGTGAGATAAATAATGCTAAAAGACTCGCTCAGCAGAGATAATTAAGGAATATTTACTTCTTTAAATAATAGTTGATGTTCATTTCACCGTCTATATGATTTTTAGAATCACTGCATATGTTTACAGGAACTTTCTTCATGATGACAACTGCAGCATTTCCAGGTAAAGATTTTTTTCTCCTCTTTTGAAAACAATCTTTTTTTTTAAATAATAGTTACTCAATTTTATTATTACAAAACCTCCATTACTTAGCGCTGAATCAAAACGGTATCCCGTCTTCAGTCAGTGTCAATTTGTGATTTGTGGAAAGGCAAAAGTAATTTGACTGCTTGCTTTAAATACCCAAAACAGGATGTATCCCTGGGTGCGTAACATACTGGAATTCTTCCTGACCTTTACGCTTAACATGCTCTGTTCCATGCTGCTCATTTACCATGTTACAATCCAACTGCTGGAATGTAGACCTAGAAATAGTGGATTGGTGCTCCAGTGATAACCAGTAGAGTGGAATTGAAAAATGTATGGTGCTGAAATCTGGATCAGAAATGTAAAAAAAAAAAAAGTGACCCTGATATAGATCCATATAATATAATCAATAATAATGGTATCGGGTCATCTTGCACATTTGCGGTGCGCAAATAAATGAATGAATCTTGAGTAACCCCAAGCCCCCAGTGCAATCTATGAATTTTGACTAATTATGTCTGTTTTTCCCATTGAGGTCATCTTCTTCATAACCTGGCACTAAAGAAGACAGCTGTGCAGTCTTCAAACGGAGACAACATCGGACTTGCTTTCAAGGCCGTCGATGGCAATAGAGATGAGAACTATCAGAAATCGTCCTGCACACTTACTTTACCACAGTCTGATCCGTGGTGGAGGGTAGACCTGGCAAGAGTGTATACAATTGGTGCTGTTGCGATAACCAATATAGCAGGATTTGAAAACAGGTTGAATGGTGCAGAAATCTGGATTGGAAACTCGACAAACTTCAGTGACCCTGAGTGTGTGAGGTGAAACAGCGTGATACAGACTAACATTATAAATTTGCAGTCAGTTATAGTTCCATCAATTTCTTTTCTTGTTCATACACAGGTGTGCGGTCATCTCTCACATTCCCAGCGGACAGACGTTTTACTTTCCATGTAGCTCTATTGAGGGACGCTATGTCACTGTGTTCCTCCCAGGAAGCGGGAAGGTCCTAAATCTCTGCGAGGTTGAAGTGTACTACGGTAATCACATTTTTATTCTGAAGCTGATACAGAAGCCTGGTAGTTCACAGACTCCCCGGCTATGTTGACAGCCAAATGCGATCTTTAAAATCACCACACAGGGCACCTTCTAGAGAAACTGACTAATACTGGTTTTCCTCCAAGGATACCCATTACCCAATGTGGCACTCAAAGGAGAAGCTGCCCAGTCATCTACACTCTCCTTTGCCACTGCGTCCAAAGCCATCGATGGCAGACGGAACTCGTTCTATAGCAATGGGTTCTGTAGCCACACGGCTGAAGACGAGACCAACCCCTGGTGGAGGGTGGACCTGCAGCGAAGCTTTACAATCACTGCTGTAAAAGTCACCAACAGAGGAGACTGCTGTGCTGAAAGACTGGATGGAGCTGAGATCAGAATAGGAAACTCACTGGAGAACAATGGAAACAATAATCCCAGGTAATGATTAGAAGTTAGTTAATTTTAGAATAATAGAACAGCAATATGTTAAAGTTTACAAGATATATACTATGTGCAGCATGACAACTAACATACTGAGGGCTAATTTTAAACCCCTGCTAAAATTAACAGTCTCCAGTTTATGGTAGTTTCATTTTAATGACAGTGGACAAAATATCCATAAAAAACCTATTATATAAAAGTTACAAATTGTTTTGGTATTTGATCCCCTACAAACCAGTCAGATTTCTGGCTTTCATAGATTGACTCAGTTCCTATTAGGCACAAATCAGTTAATCAGTTACAGATAAAACTGATCTTAGTTAAGTATAAAGCACACCTGTCCAGAAAATCAATTTCGTCCAGTCCAACCTTTCCACCACAATGGGCAAGAGCAAAGAGCTTTTAAAGGGACAAGACTGCAAAAGGCTGGAAAGAGCTACAGGAGCATCAGCAATAATCTTGTCGAGAACACCAGACATACGGCCAAATCAACAAACTAGTAATTGTCCGAGCCAGTCTCCAGATAGAAAATCTGTGGAAGGAGCTGAGGCTTTGAGTTGATGTAAAACTAAACCTAAGAAACCTAAAAATCAACTCCTGACATGCTAAAGTTCCTCCTTAGCAGGAACTTGAGGAAAATTGAAAACACCCTGTTGTTTACGCTTCACTGCTGATCGCTTGTAGATGGCACAGTCTCGCTCTGCAAACCACCTAGTTGGGCTGGAGCTTGGCACTCTCATTGAAGCTCTCATTGAAGGAGGACAGTTTTTCACCTTTCACTCTTACTTTGTGTTCCAACATAGTTGTAGGTGATAAGGACAGCACATCCTACACCCTTGTTGTCTTCCTCAGTGTTAGTGTGGAGATCTTTTTACTTATTTGGGTAATCACTGTGATTCTGGAAATAACCCAAAGAACACATGTCAGGGAATGGAATGTCGCCATGGCAACAGATGAAGATACTGGATATCCTAAAGGCTGCTGGTACCAGCCTTGATGTGGGTTTGGAGGGTTTTGCTTGTTCACCTGGAGGTTTCTCAGACAGTTCTCACTCACTGCAGCAGCAGAGGATTTTAGTGTTTTAACGTCTGTTTCAGCTGATCTAAGCAGTTATCAGTATCATCACTGCCATTCGGGACCCCCTCGGTGCAGCAGATCTTGCTTTTGCAGTCTGTGTCAGCCACTTCCTCCTTCAATACCTTGCCTGAATTGATTCCCTAGATGTGCTCCTGTGTAACAGAATCCCAGCTGCTGCTGCTCTCCTCTCTCTGTGCAGTTAGTCTGTGTGGTGAGGGATGGGTCCATGCTCTCCTGGTTCTGTGGAGAATGCAGGGTCCTTCTTTTGCCTTATCCTCAAACTGAGGTGCTCACATTTCTCCTGAGAGGGTTTGCATCCGTCATGCGATGGAGCCACTGCAGCGGGGCATGATCCGAACAGAGGGTGATAACGAAGGGAGTGGATCACCTGCTGTATCGCGAGACACTCTTTCTTTTTTTCTGGCACAACTGGGCCGCTGGCCCAACTTATCTGCTGGGTCAAAACTGCCCCCAGCCCACTATTCCAGGTGCTGGTGTGCACAAAAGGGAGGGAAAAATTAGGCATTATTTTTTAATTAATTAATTAATTAGGCAAAATTAGCATTATACAGCAGTTGTTTTGTTTGCTCTCAATTTTGACAGCCCTATTAAAGATGAATATCAGTCTGTACATTCTCCAGATAGCTTTTCTTCGAATTCTTTAATCCTCACTCACTTTTGCAACTTTGTACTTTTGTGTTACTCGCAGCAACAACTCCACCTCATTGTTAGTTCCTTTAAAAAACTCAGTGCTTTTCCTCAACATTTTGTCCATAATTAACCTGCATTACTGTAATCCGATTGTTTTTTTTTTTTTTAAAGTAAGGAGTAAAGTAAGGGATTACTATTGCAAAAAAGGTAATTAGATTACTGTTGCTTTCCTGTAAGCACGCTGCGTTACTGCATTACTGCATTACTAAACTGTGATTTTGTTAGTGAGAGTGTCTCACAACAATGATGTAAGCGCGTGTGATGTCCCTGGTATCAGCCTGCAGATCAACAATGGATGACATGGAGTGCAGGAGGGAGTACAACCATGTAGCATTTAAAGTGTAGAAGTACTGACCTTACTTTGAGTTCTAAACTGGTGAAAATAAAGTGACAGGACGTGTTGATTTTATTTATTTTCTGCTGTTATTTTACTTGCATTTATTTGAAAGAGTGAGTGTACACACTGTTATAGACAGTGTTGTTGTTAATGTATGTTTGGGGGCGTTGCACCCCTGAACCTTCAGAGGTTTTTCAGGGTTTTCCCTGCCGGAATGTTATGTGAGAAACAGTTTCCTGTATGTGTTTCCACTAGCTGTGGTTGTTTCTGAAAGCGATCAGTAAACGTCCTAAAATTGGCACTTGAGTTTCTGAACATTTTTATCCTGAGGTTATAACACACACTAAAAAATATTTTATATGCTAGAATATGCAGAAAATAGGTTTAGAGGTTAAACAAATTTCTTCAAGTCAAAGACAGTTGCATATAGTTGATTTTTTTCTTGATGGAATGTGCATAAAATCAAAAGATTAAAACTAACAAAACAAGTTTTTAAAAGAGACTTTTCATTTGATTCAATTTTATATGATGTATTATGCAGAAAAATAGAATTGGGCTGAAAGGTCTATTGCTTCATTATGTATTCAGGTTGTGCATCATGTTTTTAAAAAGTAACTAAGCAACTAAGTAATAAATAATAATAACTACGGGGCGATCGTGGCTCAAGAGTTGGCAGTTCGTCTTGTGATTGGAAGGTTGCCGATTCGAGCCCCGGCTCAGACAGTCTCGGTCGTTGTGTCCTTGGGCAAGACACTTCACCCACAGCCTACTGGTGTTGGCCAGAGGGGCCGATGGTGTGATATGGCAGCCTCGCTTCTGTCAGTCTGCTCCAGGGCAGCTGTGGCTACAACTGTAGCTTGCCTCCACCAGTGTGTGAATGTGAGAGTGACTGAATAGTGGAATTGTAAAGTGCTTTGAGGGTCTCGAAAAGCGCTATATAAATGCAATCCATTATTGCACAGCTGATTTAAATGGCTGAATTACCTCCTCAGCATGTCTGGAATTTCACCAGAGGCCTGGTAATGAACTAATCATTTGATTCAGGTGTGTTGACCCAGGGTTATACCTAAAACCTGCAGGACACCGGCCCTCGAGGCCTGATGTTGTACACCCCTGCAGCAGAGCCTGTCTTTCATCAATATGAACTGCGGGTAGGTCCATGAAACTTAAGGGTGCACCAAGTGACAATCGGTTTCTTTCACTTGGTCAAAGGCTGAGCATAGGGTGTCATCACGAGACTGCTCTAATGGAAAATCTTCTACTGACCAAATCACCGGAGCCAGCGGTCCTCATACACTGCCCTGTCAGGTGTCCTGGTTGCCTGCACTCCTGCTTCAGTGTTTGTGCAGCCCTCTGTGGGTCGGGTGCCGCCTTTAGGACCCGGGGAGGCAGATCAGAAAAAAAAGGTTAGTGGGCAACAGCTGCAACTGGAAAGCCTTCAAGAACACCTCGGTTTAGAGTTAGGGTTAGGGGATTGTCACTGATAACAGAGGAGGGGCAGAGCCACAGTGACCCTGAACAGCCTCTCCAACACCTGCGTCTGGTGTTTGGCCTGGTCCTGTAGTCTGTTTAATTGCTGTCTCTGTGCCAATGCCTGTTCCCTGTGCATAGCTGCCATCCCTGCTAGCATCTCCTGCCATCTCTGTTAGCATCTGCACGGGCAATTGCACCAGCTAGGGAGGTAGCGCAGGTTGCAGGTCCGACATGATGACACTGGTTTCTGCACGACTTTGTTATCGCAGTCACGACTCTGGACACTTTGGTGTGATTTTTAATGGTCTTTACAAAGAACAGAGAATTTGTCTTGCGCCATTGTACAGTCTATGGCTGGAAAGCTTACCAGCTTACCTCTCTTCAGGTCCCGGCATCACTGAAAAGAGTGAGAGAATCATCACAAACTGAGGTGCAGCTGCCCTGCCAAGCTCTCTGGCACTACACCTCAAGCCTGCTACTCCTCCTGTGTAATGGAGCCACAGACCACACCTCTGCCACAACAGCATTTAATCTATTATTAGACTCAATTGCCTTCTTTCAAACTGTAAAAGAGCACTAGCCAGCACTTTAATCATGGTTTCCAGCATAGAGCATAGAAACTGAACATTTAACAGTATTTCCTGAAATTCTTTTGGGGCTGATCAATTCCTAACAACGTTTAAATTTTCAGCAATTGATTACACAACAGTGGTCAGTAGATTTCATCACAGTAGATGTCTTTCTGAAACTGAAAGTGCTGTAACTAAATGTAAGTATATTTGACTCACTATTGTCTTATTTGACACCTTGTGCCAACACAGAGCAGCACTTATGCTACTTCAACAGAGGCCGATTATCTTGTTAATAACTTTACTTTTTCCACTCTGTGTGACCTTGGATACTGTAGCTCCTCTGAAAAAGAGAGCCTCAAATCACAGGGACTTGAACCCTGGTATAATTCTCAAATTGCGCACCTTAAAGAAGATAACTCGTAAGCTGGACAGGAGGCATTTACACACGCACACACACACACACACACACACACACACACACACACACACACACACACACACACACGCACGCACGCGCGCGCACACACACGCGCACACAAACACAAACAAACTAAGAAGATTGTTGATTTATGTATCTGTGTTTTTCCAATTTTTGTGTTCTAGGTGCTGAATGTTTGTTTTGGGATTTTTTTGTGTCTCACAGGTGCAACAGTTGGCAATACATAATGCATTTCTATTTGTTTCTATCCCCCAGCTCTATTTCTATCCTCTTTTTTCTCAAATTGCCTGTCTTGCCTTAGACATTGTCATACTGGTCTACAAATAATGTAATATCTGAAATAATACAAAAAGAAACAAATACATAAACAGATGTAAGATTCTCATGAACAAGAGGAACACATAGAAAATAGCATTACATTAGAATATTCAGTTACGTATAAATATGCTTCACTTTGGTGTTTTATTCAGTTTATCTTTCTTCTATTAGATTTTATTATTCTCACATTTAAATTTAATCCAGTTATATAGACATACTTCTGTTTCCTTTTTTGCTGTAAAATTCTGTTTTTGTCCATCACAGTTTTCTCAATACAGCTTCTTTGACTGAATCGTACATCATAAAGAGTAAGAGAAAAGAATAAAAACGATTTACTATTTACCAATATAAAATATAAATATATATAAAGCTCTGTTATAGCACCCTGTGTCATTTTAAACATAAAATGCTGGGTTTAATAGCTGGGGGGACTTCAATGTCTTTCAATCCCACCTTTTTCAACAGTTAAATAAAAAACAAAGAAACTTTTCTGTGGAGGGAGCTGAAGCTTTGAGTTGCCCAGCAGAAGCTAAGAAACTGCAAGGAGGGGTTTGAAAACCTATAAGAACTTATAAGAACCCAGTGTGTTCATTTTGGCCATCAAGAATGAAGAGAGAAGAAGATTATTTTCTAGTCCTTGAGTCATGTTATTTCAACATGAGGCCCATAATACTAACATAATGCTGCCCCCACACTCTCTGCTGTCAGGTGTGCTTCCATCTCACATATCAATGCTGGTAAAACCTACACATACCGGTGTGATGGAGGCAGCATGGAGGGTCGCTTTGTGAACGTGTTTCTTCCTGGACAGCAGAAGACTCTCACCCTGTGTGAAGTGGAGGTGTATGCTGCCCCAGCAGGTAGAGCTTTAAGTGACTGGATCTGATCTACTGAAACACATCTGCCTGATACTGATTCGTACTTGTTTGTTCTTTTTAACACTTTAGTGGAGCCGCTTTCAAACGTGGCCTTAAGCAAGCCAACAGTACAGTCATCGACTTCGTCACCATATCTGTCTTCCAAAGCTGTTGATGGGTACAAAAATGGAAACATCTACGGTGCAGGCTTTACCCACACTTTAGAAGAAACAAATCCCTGGTGGAGAGTAGACTTGTTAGCCGTGTATAAAGTCAGTGCTGTCACCATCATCAACAGAGAGGACTGTTGTTCTCAAAGGATTCTTGGGGCAGAGATTCGGATCGGGGACTCACTGGATCAAAATGGAAATCAAAACCCGAGGTGAGACATGATTTCTGACAGGAATATTTATTATTATTATTATTCATTTTTTCTCCCATTTAAACAACACATTGTTTGAATAGATATTAGCTTTTTTCCCTTTAGTAAGTAAAACTGACACATTTCTCTTTGATGTTTCTACAACTCCATCAGGTGTGGCATTATTGAATCATTGGCTGGTACACCAACATACACATTCCATTGTCATGAAATGGAAGGTCGCTACATCAATGTGATCATACCAGCACTTCTGAGAGTTCTGACGCTGTGTGAAGTGCAAGTGTTTGCTTCTCTGCCTGGTATAGCCCTTGTTTTCTAGTGGTATATGTGGAAGCTGCTTGTTTCTTTTTCTTTTTTATATGATTTCTCATATTTATTATTGTACAGTCAAGAAATTGAACTGACTTTCTAGCTTTCAATGTTCGTGTTTTTTTTTGGGGGGGGGGGGGGGGGGATTCAGAGCTGATTGCAACATTACAATTTAACCTGTTAAACTAAAATAAAAACAAACAGTCATGGATGAAACAAACAGAAACCTAACAAACTTCTCTCCAGCACCAGAAGCTGTTACTCCTTCACCCACTCCTCCCACCCCTCCTCCGCCTGTGAGCCTGCAGTTTGGTGGCAGGAACGTGATGGTGGTGGGAGAGAGGCTCTGCTGGTCCGATGCTCTGATGTACTGTAGACGTTATTACTGGGACCTGCTCAGCCTTCACAGCCAACAGGAGCAAAGCGAGTTGGAGCAGCTGCTGGGCCTCGTTCCTTTCTCCCTCACAGACCACGTCTGGCTGGGACTGCGCAGGTACTGATACAGAAGATACTTCTAACAACTCAATGAATGAACAGGGAGGACACAGAGTCATCCAGGATTCAAAAGGTCATAGTTCAAGTTTTCTTGTGCAAGTTAAGAACGTGTGTGTGCGTGTTAATGAGATCAGAATAACATTTAGACAGGAGAAGTGGAGTCGAATGGTAACAAAGAGAGTGACGATTGTCAGTACTGAGTAGGACTGGGTGATATGACCCAAAATTCATATCTCGATATTTTTTTAGCTGGATGGCGATATAAGATATATATGTCGATATTTTTTTAGCTGGATGGCGATATAAGATATATATGTCGATATTTTTTAAAGCCATAAAGTAAGAACAAGAAGAGTTCTTAGTCAAAGCTGTGTCCCAGATGTCACACAGGCACTTTTATTAACATACAGCATATATGGAAATGAAAAAAACTACTCAAAAGTAAATTATGAGCATTTATTAAATAATAATGCTCCATAAATAAAAGAAAACAATGTTGTTTTTGTGCATAACAAAAAGCTCACAATTGTGCAGTCAAAATGTAAACTAAAAGACGCTGAGCACAATAACAAAGACAGATTTCACAGCTGCTCTGTTCCCAACTTGTACTGCGTGACTGACAGCCTGGAGTTTGAAATCCGCTTCGTAACCATGTCTCTTAACAGCTGCCATTTATGGTCCTTTTACACACACAATACGGTAATATTACGTTGAAGCACAATACGTATCACTCCGCGAGGCTCCTCGGTAGCCGTAATGCTCCGACAATCCATCAAGCAGTGCAGCTCCGTAGCTTACCAAAGTCATACCAAAACATTTTTTGACAGATTGCTGAGCGCTGTGTTCCACATAAAACCAGTTCGCAGTCATCAAGCACAACCAGAATTCATACATAAGGCGCGCTGTCAACTTTTGACATAATGAACGGATTTTAGGCTGTGCAGCCCCTGTGGACTGCATGGTGTTAGCGTGGTTAGCTTTTTAACACGTTGATGCTGTCCAGCCCCACACACGGGGTAATGCGCAGTAACTCGTTAACGGAAATTTGCCGTGTCCATCTTGTCGCTGCCTGCAGGTGAAGCGATGGGGAAGGAGGGGGAGTTGTCTTCAGTGAAGGAGAGGCGAGGTCAAGTAACGTTGCGTAAAGACGAAAGTGGACGAAAGAGAGGCAAACTTGTGGCTCCACAACTATAACTATAACGTAACATAGACTATATCGATATAAAGGATATTGTCACATCTTATATCTCGTATAAAAATATATCGATATTTAAAAAAAAAACAACTTTATATATCGCCCAGCACTAGTACTGAGGTATAATACAAACAGAAGGCAACTTTACATCAAGGATAGTTGCAAGCACCAAGGAATCCACTGGTAAATGGAAGTATGAAGAGGCCGCTAGGACAGCTGCAACCATGCAAAACATTCAGACAGTAAGGTAAGTCATGAGAAGTCTGCTGAATGGGAAGATCAAGATTCAGGCAATCAACTCGTGTGCTTTGAGGGTCTTCAAATACCCTGCTGGGATAATAAGCAGGCCAAAAGAAGAGGTAAAACCTACTTACATCAAGACAAAGAGCTCTTTACCAGGCATTAAGTGTTCATCTTAGTCCAGCACCCTGAGACGCCGAGGACTAGTGAGTGTCAGAACCACTGTCCAGGATGAGACAACAAACATCCATGAGTAAATCAGGAAGATGTCCACAACTGATCATGTAAGGCAGGGGTCCCCAATCCCAGTCCATGAGGGCCGGTGTCCCTGCAGGTTTCAGATCTCACCCAGGGTCAACACACCTGAATCACATGATTAGTTCATTACCAGGTGTTATATTTCCACTGTAGTGTCAGTACACTATTAGAGCTTATGCCGAGTCAGACTGCACACACAATAGTTTGTTTACAAGTTGACTTCTTCTTTATTGGGATTGGCGATGGCTTGCATAGCACACAATAATTCTTGGTTCATACATAACATCTCCTCCCCACTAAGCTATGCGACCGTGGCACCACCCGCAGAAACATTTCCCATAACCAAAGTAGTACCCTTTTTTTTTATTATTACCACATTCATGAAAACTGGAACTAATGTTGCTTTCTGTATGAATTTCCTTTTAGTTGAGAATAATGTCTCTGAACGCCAACATTCTCACTGAACTACTTAATACGCTCACCCATCACGATAACGAGCGGGTGGCTTAGTGACTCTCACTGGGTAACGTCTTACAGACTCTGTAACCTGTGTACAGTCAGTCGGTGATGATTTAAGAGACTGGGGTGTTTCTGGAGGTACGGTGGTCCCCATAACTTGTTCAACAGTCTCTTCCTGCAGAGTTGTACAAGGGTGAAGCATGGTGTCACTACCACTCTGGGCTGGTGACATCTGAGAGCTTGTCGGAGGATCCACTGTGACCTGCTGAGATACTGACTCAGGTCGTGTCAGCATTTGATCCACATGACGTTTCCACACTCCTTGGGCTCCAACGTTCACCTTGTATGACACTGGCCCAGTCTTCTCCAGTACGACACCGTGCGTCCACTTGTCCTCTCCCTTCCTATAATCGCGCACCAAGACAGGCTCGCCAACAGTGAACCGTCTGTCCCTGGAGTGTTGCTGTCGGCATTGTTGTTGCGCATCCTGTGACCGACGCACAGCTCCGGCCACACTGGGCTTCAAACAATCCAGTCGAGAGCGCAGCTTGCGTCCAATGAACAATATAGCTGGCGTTTCTCTAGTTGTTGCATGGGGAGTGTTGCGATATGTCAAGAGGAACGTGTCAAGGCGTTGTTGCACAGGTGCTGTACCCCTGGAAGCTTTCAGTGCATGTTTGAATGTCTGCACAAAACGCTCAGCCAAACCATTAGTGGCAGGATGGTACGGCGCGGAGCGGATGTGTTTGACTCCATTAGCTTTCAGGAACACCCTGAATTCCTCAGAACAGAACTGCGGTCCGTTATCACTCACCAGGATGTGGGGAATGCCGTGGCGACTAAAGAGACCCCGTAGCACTTGTATGGTTTTACCAGCTGTGGTGCTATCCATAATATGCACTTCAGGACACTTGGAGTGTGCATCTACCACCACCAGGTACATGTGACTTTCAAATGGACCCGCAAAATCCACATGGATCTGTTCCCATGGACAGGAAGGCCACAGCCAAGGGTGTAAAGGTGCTAACCCAGGCTCTTTTTGCACACGCTGACAAGAGTGGCAGGCTTTAGCTTGAAGCTCAATTTGAGAATCAATGCCAGGCCACCAAACATAGCTGCGAGCTAAGCTCTTCATCCTCACCATCCCTGGATGTGGAGTGTGGAGCTCTTTCAGGACATGAGAGCGCAGCTTAGGTGGCACAACCACCCTCACGCCCCACATAAGGCATCCCTGCTGTATTGTGAGTTCATGTCTGCGCAGCAGATAGGGTGACAGCTCTTGATCTGTGTCCTTTGGTGCTGGAAAACATCCAGTTATTACCATTTCCAGCACACGAGACAAAGTGACATCAGACAAAGTGTCACGTCTGATCTCGGCGACACTGACTGGTAATGTGTCCAGCTGAGATGCGTAGAATACCTCAACCACTCCCTGTTTCTCTTTCTGTGCAAGGGGCAGAGGTAAACGTGACAGACCGTCAGCATTGGCGTGATGTGCCCCCTTCCGATACTGTAAGGTGTAATTATGTGCTGACAGAAGGAGCGCCCAACGCTGCATTCGCGCAGCTGCCATTGATGGTGTACCTTTTACTGGACTCAGAATTGAGGTCAGTGGGCGATGATCAGTGAGCAAGGTGAACTTGTTACCATGGAGATACTGGTGAAACTTGCGCACTCCAAAAACAATTGCCAACGCCTCCCTCTCGATCTGAGCATAGTTTTGTTCTGCTTTGCTGAGGGTTCGTGAAGCATGAGCAATTGGCCGTTCTTGGCCATCAGGCATGACATGTGAGAGCACGGCTCCAACGCCATATGGTGAAGCGTCACATGCCAAACGGAGAGGCAGTTCAGGATTGTAGTGGGTGAGTATTTTTGGTGAGGCCAGACGTTCTTTAGCTTTCTGGAAAGCTGACTCGCAGGCTGATGTCCACTGCCATTTCTTCTCTTTAATGAGTAGCTCATTCAGCGGCTTCAGGACTGTAGCTAAATCAGGTATGAAACGTCCATAATAGTTGAGCATTCCCAGAAAAGAACGTAACTGGCTGACATCAGCTGGTGCTGGAGCTTCCATAACGGCACGCACCTTTTCTGGTGATTTGTGTAACCCTGCCGCATCAATTATGTGGCCCAGGTATTCCACTGATTCTTGGAAAAACAGGCACTTCTCCTGTTTGAGACGCAGGCCATAGTCCTCCAGCCTGCCCAAAACTGCCTTAAGGGTTCTCAGGTGTGTCTGTTTATCTGGACCACTGACGAGGATGTCATCCAGATAACAATGGGTGTATGGTAGGCCGAGAAGCACTTGATCCATAGCCTTCTGAAACAATGCAGGTGAGGACGCCACTCCAAAAGGCAAGCAATTGAAACGGAGCAGCCCTTTTTGTGTCGAAATAGTCAGCAGCTTCTTAGACTCCTCTTCTACCTCCATCTGTAGGTAAGCATTTGCTAAGTCTAGCTTACTGAAATGCTGACCTCCTGCTAGAGAGCAAACAGATCCTCAATGCGTGGAAGTGGGTACTTATCCACACAGAGCTGCGAATTAAGAGTGACCTTGAAATCATCACAGAGTCTCACTGAGCCATCCTTCTTGTTGACAGGGACCACGGGCGTAGCCCAATCACTATGCTCCACTGGTGTGATCACCCCAAGCTCAGTCAGGCGTTTCAGTTCTGCCTCCACCCGAGGGCGGAGAGCATAAGGCACGTTACGTGATGGACAGAATTTGGGGACACTATCAGGCCTAAAAGTCAATCTGGCTTTAATTCCTTTCATTGTGCCCAGCTCCTTAGAGAAAACGGCTGAGTGTTTCTTTAGCACTGCCTCCAGATTGTCATATCCGCTTTGCTCTCTGGC